CCAGTGTCCCCAATGTCCCAAATGTCCCCAATGTCCCCAATGTCCCAAGTGTCCCCAATGTCCCAAATGTCCCCAATGTCCCCAATGTCCCCAATGTCCCCAATGTCCCAAATGTCCCCAATGTCCCAATGTCCCCAATGTCCCCAATGTTCCCCAACATCCCCAATGTCCCCAATGTCCCCAATGTTCCCCAGCATCCCCAATGTCCCCAATGTCCCCAATGTCCCAATGTCCCCAATGTCCCCAATGTCCCCAAAGTCCCCAATGTCCCAATGTCCCCAATGTCCCCAATGTCCCAATACTCCTGATACCCCCAATACCCCCAATGTCCCCAACGTCCCCAGGGTGCCATCGTGGCGGTGACGGGTGACGGCGTCAACGACTCTCCGGCGCTGAAGAAGGCGGACATCGGGATCGCCATGGGCATCGCCGGCTCCGACGTGTCCAAGCAGGCGGCCGACATGATCCTGCTGGACGACAACTTCGCCTCCATCGTCACCGGCGTCGAGGAAGGTCGGGGACAGACACAGGGGTTTGGGGACATCGGGGACATTGGGGACATTGGGGATATTGGGGATATCGGGACACTGGGGACATTGAGGGTACTGGGGACATTGGGGACATTGAGGGTACTGGGGACATTGGGGATATTAGGGACACTGGGGACACGGGGGCATTGGGAACATTGGGGACACTGGGGGTATTGGGGACACTGGGGACATTTGGGACATTGGGGACATTGGGGCATGGAGGACATTGGGAACATTGGGGACACTGGGGACATTGGGGACACTGGGGACATCGGGGACATCGGGGACATCGGGGACTTTGGGGACTTTGGGGACTTTGGGGACATTGGGGACTTTGGGGACATTGGGGGCACTGGGGACATTGGGGACACTGGGGACATTGGGAGACATTGGGGATATTTGGGACATTAGGGACATTGGGGACATTGGGGACACTGGGGACATTGGGGACAGTAGAGACACTGGGGATATTTGGGACATTGGGGACATTGGGGACAGTGGGGCATTGGGGACATTGGGGACATTGGGGACACTGGGAACATTGGGGACACAGGGGCATTGGGGACACTGGGGGGCATTGGGGACATTGGGGGCATCAGGGACACTGGGAACATTGGGGACGTTGGGGTATTGGGGACATTGGGGACATTGTGGTCACTGAGGACATTGGGGACATTGGGGATATTTGGGATATTTGGGATTTTGGGGGAATTGGTGACACTGGGAATTTTTGGGGTCACCGCTGTCCCCTCGCAGGCCGCCTGATCTTCGATAACCTGAAGAAATCAATCGCCTACACCCTGACCAGCAACATCCCCGAGATCACCCCGTTCCTGCTCTTCATCATCGCCAACATCCCGCTGCCCCTGGGCACCGTCACCATCCTCTGCATCGACCTGGGCACCGACATGGTGCGGGACGGCCCCAAAGCCATCCCAAATCCATCCCAAATTCATCCCAGGGATCCAAATCCATCCCAAATCCATCCCAGGGCGCCCAAATCCATCCCAAATCCAGCCCAGGGATCCCAAATCCATCCCAGGGATCCCAAATCCATCCCAAATCCATCCCAGGGACACCAAATCCATCCCAAATCCATCCCAGGGACACCAAATCCATCCCAAAGACACCAAATCCATCCCAAACCCATCCCATGGACACCAAATCCACCCCAAATCCATCCCAGGGACACCAAATCCATCCCAAATCCATCCCAGGGAGCCCAAAGCCATCCCAAATCCATCCCAAATCCATCCCAGGGATCCCAAATCCATCCCAAATCCATCCCAGGGAGCCCAAATCCATCCCAAATCCATCCCAAATCCATCCCAAATCCATCCCAGGGACACCAAATCCACCACAGAGATCCCAAATCCTCCTGCCCCTGGGCGCTGCCACCATCCCATGACGTGTGACAGTGGGTGCCACCAGGGTGTCATTGGGTGGCCCTGGGTGTCATCGGGGCCACCAGGGTGTCACTGGATGCCACCGGGGTGTCATCAGGGCCACCAGGGTGTCATCAGGTGCCACCAGGGTGTCATCGGATGCCACCAGGGTGTCATTGGATGGCCCTGGGTGTCATCAGGGCCACCAGGGTGTCATTGGGGCCACCAGGGTGTCATTGGATGCCACCAGGGTGTCATTGGATGGCCCTGGGTGTCATCGGGGCCACCAGGGTGTCATTGGATGCCACCAGGGTGTCATTGGGTGACCCTGGGTGTCATCAGGTGCCACCAGGGTGTCATCAGTTGCCACCAGGGTGTCATCAGGGCCACCAGGGTGTCATCAGTTGCCACCAGGGTGTAATTGGGTGATGATGGGTGGCAGGGAGGTGACACTGTGTGACTCAGGGTGACGGCAGAGCGGCAGGCAATGACACAGGGGTGACACCGGGTGACACAGGGATGACATTGGGTGGCACAGGCATGTCACAGGGTGACAGCGGGTGACACCGGGTGACACAGGGGTATCGCCATCAGGTGATGGATGACATTGGGGTGACATCAGGTGGCACGGGTGTGACGCAGGGTGACGCTGGGTGACTCTGAATGACAGTGGGTGACACGAGGTGACACCGGGTGACACCGCTGTCCCCTCAGGTCCCGGCCATCTCTCTGGCCTACGAGGCAGCCGAGAGCGACATCATGAAACGGCAACCGCGCAACCCCCGCAGCGACAAACTGGTCAACGAGCGGCTCATCAGCATGGCCTACGGCCAGATCGGTCAGTGGTCACTCAGGGTCACTCAGGGTCACTCAGGGGTCACTCAGGGGTCACTGAGGGTCAGTCAGGGTCACTCAGGGGTCAGTCAGGGTCACTCAGGGGTCAGTCAGGGGTCAGTCAGGGTCACTTGCAGTCACTCAGGGTCAGTCAGGGTCACTCAGGGTCACTCAGGGTCACTCAGGGTCACTCGCGGTCACTCAGGGTCACTCAGGGATCACTCAGGGTCACTCAGGGGTCACTCAGGGTCATCAGCATCGCCTACGGTCAGTGCAGGATCATGGAGTGATCCCAAATTCAAGGATGCTGGTCCTTGGATGCTGATCCCAATCCCATGGCTCTGATCCCAATCCCATTCCCGATCCCATTCCCGATCCCATTCCCGATCCCATTCCCGATCCCACAGCTCTGATCCCATTCCCGATCCCATGGCTCTGATCCCATTCCCAATCCCATTCCTGATCCCATGGCTCTGATCCCATTCCCGATCCCATTCCCGATCCCACGGCTCTGATCCCATTCCCGATCTCATTCCCAATCCCATGGCTCTGATCCCATTCCCGATCCCATTCCCGATCCCATTCCTGATCCCATTCCCGATCCCATTCCTGATCCCATTCCCGATCCCATTCCCGATCCCACGGCTCTGATCCCATTCCCGATCCCTCAGGGATGATCCAGGCTCTGGGCGGGTTCTTCACGTACTTCGTGATCCTGGCGGAGAACGGCTTCCTGCCGGGAACGCTGCTGGGGATCCGCCTGGCCTGGGACGATCGCTCCAAGAACGACCTGGAGGATTCCTACGGACAGGAGTGGGTGAGGGACCCCGAAACTGCCCCTTACACAGCCCTTACACAGCCCTTACACAGCCCTTACACACCCCTTACACACCCCTTACACACCCCTTACACACCTGTTACGCACCCCTTACACACCCCTTACACACCCCTTACACAGCCCTTACACAGCCCTTACACACCAGTCACACACCCATTACACCCCAGTTACACACCAGTTACACCCCACACACCAGTTACACCCCAGTTACACCCCAGTTACACCCCAGTTACACACCAGTTACACACCAGTCACACACCAGTTACACACCCCTTACACCCCAGTCACACACCCATTACACACCAGTTACACACCCGTTACACTCCACTTACACTCCGGTTACACACCAGTCACACACCTATTCCATCCAATTTCCACCCCATTTCTGCCCCATTTCTGCCCCGTTTCCTCCCAGTTTACTCCCAGTTTACTCCCGGTTTCCTCCCGGCTTACTCCCGATTTACTCCCCGTTTACTCCTGGTTTAGTCCTGGTTTCCTCCTGGTTTACTTCTGGTTTCCTCCCCATTTACTCCCAGTTTCCTCCTGGTTTAGTCCCGGTTTCCTCCCCATTTACTCCCGGTTTACTCCCGGTTTCCTCCCGGTTTCCTCCCCGTTTCCTCCTGGTTTCCTCCTGGTTTCCTCCCCCTTTTACTCCCCGTTTACTCCCGGTTTCCTCCTGGTTTACTCCCGGTTTCCTCCCTGTTTCCTCCTGGTTTACACCTGGGTTCTTCCCGGTTTCCTCCCGGTTTCCTCCCGGTTTCCTCCCCGTTTACTCCTGGTTTACTCCTGGTTTCCTCCCGGTTTCCTCCTGGCTTACTCCCGGTTTCCTCCTGGTTTACTCACGGTTTACTCCCGGTTTCCTCTTGGTTTCCTCTTGGTTTCCTCCCCGTTTCCTCCTGGTTTACTCCCAGTTTCCTCCCGGTTTCCTCCCGGTTTACTCCTGGTTTCCTCCCGGTTTCCTCCCGGTTTACTCCCGGTTTACTCCTGGTTTCCTCCCGGTTTACTCCTGGTTTACTCCTGGTTTCCTCCCGGTTTCCTCCCGGTTTCCTCGGGGCAGACGTACGAGCAGCGCAAGGTGGTGGAGTTCACGTGCCACACCGCGTTCTTCGCCAGCATCGTGGTGGTGCAGTGGGCCGACCTCATCATCTGCAAGACCCGGCGCAACTCCGTCTTCCAGCAGGGCATGAAGTGAGGGAAAACACCCCAAAAACACCCCAAACACCACCCCAAACACCCCAAAAACACCCCAAAAACAACCCAAACACCCCAAAAACACCCCAAAAACAACCCAAACACCCCAAAACCACCCCAAACACCCCAAAAACACCCCAAAAACCACCCCAAAAACACCCCAAAAACACACCAAACACCCCAAAACCATCCCAAACACCCCAAAAACACCCCAAAAACAATCCAAACACCCCAAAAACACCCCAAAAACACCCCAAAACCACCCCAAACACCCCAAAAACACCCCAAAAACACCCCCAAAACATTCAAAAAACCCCAAAAGCACCCCCAAAACATCCCAAACACCTCCAGAACCTGTCCCAACTCCGTCTTCCAGCAGGGCATGAAGTGAGGGAAAACACCCCAAAAACACCCCAAACACCAC